AATTAGGGTCCCTTTTAGGGTGCCCTAAATAATAGGTGCCGTATTATAATAAGGACCCAAAAAGGACCATCAATTTTGACAACCACCCACAGCGCTGTAGTTAGAAGTCCCCCAAAACAGCATTACGACCTGTGTCATGCTACATGAGCCTGGTCTAACTGTCCAGGCTCCTGTAGGATCAGGATAGAATCTGTAGCTGCAGCATCATTCACCCTAAACCCTAAACCCTAAACCCTAAACCCCTAAACCCTAAACCCTAAACCCTAAACCCTAAACCCCTAAACCCTAAACCGTATATCACAATTAGCAGCCTCCCAGTTGCAGAAATTGCTTGGGTTCTTATGCTGCAAGGGACTCAGAGCCTGCAAAGCCCGTGCCAGCCTGACCCTTGCAGTTGTGGGTTTAGGGTTTAGGGTTTAGGGTTTAGGGATTTTCCTTAAGGGTCCAAAGGACCCAATAATTAGGTACTTAGGTTTCGGATAGTAGGTATGTAGGTTACTATTTGGGAGAGTATCTGATTATTAGGTACTTGGAGCCTTGGGGTTTACACAAAAGACCCTAACAGCTCCGATTTCAACCGCCAGGCCCCGCAAGCACTTGTGTTCGCGCCATGGGCCCTCCATCCTACAGTGCCTGCACATTGGCAGTTGGTTTGGGCAAAACTGTTGTCAGTAATGTGGGGGCCTTAATATTTAGAATAGGGTTTGGGGTATATTACACTGTAATTATAAAAGGGAACCCCCCCCCCCACAACCCCATTCTAATTCTTTAGGCCCTTACAGTAGTAAACTGGAAAGAGGGCGTGTGCTGATGGTTGCAAGCCCTCTCACCGATGCAGCAGTCATGCATTGGCCAGGCAAGGCTTTCGCCATCCGCTACGCATGGCAAGGACCTGTGATTCAAGTCTTGTCGTGCAAGTGGTTGCAGTTCAGTATATCTCACGCTTCGCAGATTGCACCCGCGTCTGATGCATTCTCACCATGGCGACAAGAACTGTAGGAAATAGGGTACCCTTATTATTAAGGGGCTACTGGGGAACCTAAATAGTTACCAAGATTTACTGTTAGGGTTCCTCATCAATAATACCATAAAGGAGCCCAGAACTACTGTTAGGGGTTCCTTTTTGTAGTACTACAAAGGAGCCCAAGACCGACCCTGCTCTAACTATATAGGGCCCCTAAATCCTAAACCCTTA